ATACTAGAATGAATTTACTTTTTTTCTCCATTTAAATCAAGTTTGATAAGATTAAAGAGTAGTAATCCAAAAATAAAGTAATTATGCATATAAGAGCTTTATTTTTTCCCTTCTTTCAAATTCCTCAATAATATAACAATAATGGATTTCAAGTCTTTCAAACTCTTTGGAAATTAATATGCATCATATGTTTGTATTAATTGGGTAAATTTTTATTTTCTTTTTTCATGTAGCTGGGCATCTCTTAATTTGATTTGAGAGTAGCTGTGGTGGACATTTCTGTATTATTCATCTAATTTTATTACAATATTTGAGGTAAGTAAAGGTTAATATCAGAAAATCAACCCACCTAGCCGAACTCCTTTTCTATTTATTTATGTTATATTTTTTCTTACTATTCGCCAAGAGAAATAATAAGGGAATAACTTCTCAATCACCAAATGAATTTGGTACCTTGATAAAGAACTCAAGAAAAGAATAATATTTATTTTTTCTTCTCTAACTTTAATCTTTTATCCAAAAACTCTTCGTTTCATTATCATCTATCTACTTTTCTGTAGATATCAATTTGATCTTAGGATCATAATGCGACAAATTTTCCTTGTATTAGCCTTCCACGTAAAATTACCGCGTTTGTTCTATCATAATGTTGCTTTTCCCGCAATATACAATTGATGACGAATATACATGTGATTTAAATCCTTTGAGTTAGAATTTAGAATTTGTAAATTTCCATGAAGTTTATCTTTTGAATGATGAAGGGGAAGATTCTATATTTTATAAAAACATAATAAAATGAGGAAAAATACTAAAAAAAATCCAGAGAAATTCATGTATCTCAATTTTAGAGGATTAAATAAGCCTTATTCATATATAATTAAATAAAATCATCAATATGAACCAGCCCCAATCCTTATGAGCCCAGTTTTATTAGCCCAACTTTTAAGGGCTCAAGTTCATAAGTTTTTTTATCCTAAAGTTAACATTTTGGTTTTTAAACTTGACATATATTGACAAAGCTCAAGGTTGAGCTGGACAGCTCATTTTTTTTCTCACTTTTTCAAAAAATTAAATTTCTAATTATACCAATATATATTATATATAAATTGTATTGTAGCTTAATTGTATATTTAAAAGACAATAATAAGCTTCCAAATATAATTAAAATAATACAAACCTCAAAACATAATATAAATCATACAAGTCTAAATTGTCTGTTGTCCAAAATAAAAAATTCTTCAATCCTTATCATCAATTTTCATTCAAAAATAAAACGTTAGACCTTTTAGAAGAAGATTCACTTAGAGAAGATGGTCCTATTTTAACAAACTCAATAACTTCATCTCCATCACATAGAATAAATAGTCAACAAAGTGTGTTATTTGTATATGTATAAATTAAAATACTTTTTTAAAATATTATACGAGCTTATAAGAGTAGGCTTAAAAGCCCTTTATGCCCAAAATCTTTCATTTTTTCAAGCCCAGCCTTTAGTAATGGCTCTATAATTAAAGTAGGAGTTCATCAAACATACCATCAATTCATGTTCAATTAAATAATACCATAGGGTGCCATTGAAAAAAGAAATGCTCTCGCGATCCTAAATGTAAACTTAATTAACTATATTCATGAAAATTAAACAATGGGTTTTAATTAATTATCTGCTATTATTATGTAAAAATGGGTTGCACCTTTTCTAGAATAAACTTCTTTTGGCGAAGGTATCAAATGAAGAAGACAAAAATAGTGAAAAAGTTGTAAAATTAAAGAGGTTAATTTCAAAAAAAAAAAAAAAACTAAATGAGAGAGAAAAAAAATTGCGTTTTTAAAGAACAAAACAAACTTCTTACTAGTTTCATATTCAGGATATTGAAGGAAGTAGCATTTAAATATTTTATATGACTTTTAATAATTTTTTTGTAAGGAAATAATAGAAACAAAGACACTATATGTCTTTATTTAAATGTTTAAATTAATTACATAAATAGAATTTTCAGGCCCCAAAAAAATTATAATTTAACTATATTTTGAATAAACTGTTTTTACTCTCTACTACATTCAAAAACTATTTACACACACATGCATATATCATTGACCGCTATTTAAAACACTATTAATCGACAGCGCCATGTATGAAGAAGAAACTCCTATATTGATATAGATATAGATATTGATCAGTAAAAGAGAAGGAGTATTATATGACTTTAATATTAATTAGTCATTCCATAAAGGAAAAAAAAAACAAAATTCTTTGATTTTAACTTGATTGTATATTATATATATGGCATTAATTTGTTTTGGGATGATTACTTATGATATCATTTACAAATAACCCAATGTAAATAACAAGTATCTTATATATATCAATGGCTACTAAATGAATATATTTTTATTTTCAAATGACCCACTATGAATGACAAATACTTTATTATACATCAGTGATTATTAAATGAACATATTTCTTCATTAAAAGTTACCTAGTGTGAATAATAATTATTTTATATATCAGTGACTACTAAATGAGCACATTTTCTATTAACAAGTTACCTAGTGTAAGAAAACAATTACCTTACATAATGATTATATTATCTATTAACAAGTCACCCAGTGTAAATAACAACTATATTATAAAACAATGACTGTTAAATGAGCATATTCTCTATACCTACCATGACTAAAAAGTACTTTATAAATTAATGAGTATAAAATTCCATTTTACCAACATTGTCTCCTCAAGTTGAATATATATAAAATTTTTTTTTGTATAAATAAATCAAAATGTTTCAATGGCCTACTGGTGCACATTCTATTTGGGACCATTCATGACCAGAAATTCGCTTGCCGGTGCTGGTCACTTGCCGACAGCTAAACAGAGCTCCGATAACTGGCAGTGGATAGTTTTTTTAAGGAAAAAGGTAAAGTAATTGTATTTTAGTAATTAAACATAAAATATATTTAAAAAAAGATTTGGGATTTGGGGGTAGTTTTGTCCATTTCATGGACCCTAGTATTTAGAATCCCTTGAAAGACTTTCAAGTGATTTTCCCTAATTTATTTTTACTCATCCAACTTTAACTTTTAATCCAAAAAACTAAGTTTAATTTCATTATCATCTTCCTACTTTTCTATACATGTCAATTTGACTTTTGGATAAGCCTTCCGGCTAAATTTACCGCATATAGTCTATTTACATTGTTGCTTAAAGTTCAATAAATTTTGTTGCTACTTTGAATTTAAAAATTATTAAGAGCAAATTAAAAGGAAAACCTGTATAATTAAAACTATTGTATATAGGATAAATATATGTTACTTCCTCCGACACTACAATTGATGAATATATATAATTAATAGAGGTGTCAATAATTACTAGCCTAGCTCTTGTATAGGCTCACTTGATCTTTAAGGGCTTAAGCCCATAAACTTTTTAATTTTATCCTAAAATCAGCATTTTTCTTAGACCAAACATTTATTGATACAAAATCTTTCATTTTTTCAAGCATGACTTTCAAAAAATACAAGGCCTAAAAGGTAACTCCCACCTTGACAACTTTATAAATAAAGTAAGGTAGTGTTTGCCTGTTTGGTTGGAGGAGAAAAGTGAAAGAGAAATTTTAAAAAAATTTCCTTCCCTCCAAAACCTCCCCCTCCAATTTGGGGGAATATCTCTCTCCTCCCCCCTCTCCCTCCTCTCTCCTTCCCTCCCCTCTCGTCCTCCTCCCTCTCCCCTCCCTCCTCTCCTCTCCCCTCACCTTCCTTCCTTTACATTCCCTCCCTTTCTCTTCCCTTGAACCAAAGAGAGCCTAAGAGTTCACTAGAGATATCATCAATTCATATTACTGTTAAATAATAGGATAGTGTGTCATAAAAAAAAAAAAACAAAAATAAGGAGAATTATTCCAACGTCTCACACAACACCAGCAATGACTTAAAGTCCCACCAATTACTTAAGTTATTCTGTTGTTCCAAGGTCCATAGATGTAATTATTTTTTATATACATTACCAAAATACCTTCCTTTTTAAAAAAACAAAAGAAAAAAAAATCTCCCATATGGCTGCCAGCATCGGAGCCTCACTATCAGTTGCTGAAGCCCTGGCGGCGACAAGCAAATTATTGGTCATGAGTTTCATGGAAGGATACGAGAACACAACTTCTTGGATCCTGAAAAATTATGGTGACCATTAAACCAATTTAAAAAAATATATACAAAATATTATATATATATATATATATATATATATAAAGATCTTAGAGTCAATTACAAAACATAGTAGTCAATCTCCAATAAACTAGTTGTCAATCTTATATATATGTCCCGTAGATCAACTTAGCATAAGAATCGGCAACTTTAGCATAGGAAATCTACAGCTAATCTCAAAAAACTTACCACCGAGTGATTAACTTGCAAGTTCCTTTGCTAAAGTTGTCAATTCTCATGCTGAAGTTATTAATTGGAGATTTACAACTAATCTCAAGAGCAAATGATTAATTACTTGGAAAGGAATGCAAGTTTTGGCAACACGGGGGTTCTGGTGACCGGAGTCAGGAAAAACAGGATGAATCTAGTTGGATAGATAAAAAAAAAAAAAATAAAGAGAGCGAGAGAGGTCGCGCACAGGTTGAGGTTTTGACTGTATAGGAGTCTGTTGGATTTGATTCATCGAGTGACGATGCCTCTTGTGTTGCCCGCCATTCCCCTTTTAACTGATCAATCGGTTGCTCCTCATGTGAATTCAAATTTCATCTACGGTACCATGAATGAGATGAAACTCTGCTATATACATTAATACAGATATTGATGACATTGATCATTAAAAGAGAAAGCGTATTATATATGATTTTAAGACTAATTAGTCATTCATAAAGGATGAATAAAAATAAAATTCAACTTTAATTTATTGATTATAATTTGATTGTATATTATACGTATAGCTCGCATTAATTTGTATTGAGGATGATTACTCACGACATTTATATGACTGCATTGGATGGTGGTGGGGACTGTGATCTCAGGTTGGCAACTGCCGCAAAATATCTGGCGGGTCCCATTTCACGCATAGCTGCTTATTTGTGTTGCCTTAACCAATTCAATGGAGACCTTGAGAAAGCAAAAAATGAGCTGAAGACAAGACTAAAGGAAGTGAGTGAGCGTAAGGAACAAGCTGCTGGAAGAACTGAGGAAATAACGCTGCCTGTGAAGAACTGGTTGGATTATGTGGAGACTATTCTAGCGGATGTGCAAAAGCTGGAACGAGAGGGTTGAAGGAGGAGCAAAGAAATGCTTCCACGTGTCACTCAGGTAGTCCTTAGCCAAACAAATGGACGATAAGGCTAAGCAGATGATAAAGATCAAAAACGGTTGCCACTTTGAGCCGTTTTCCTTTTCCGCCCAAGTTCCTGGCATCGCTTACTTCTCTTCCAAAAATTTTGTGGATTTCAACTCGAGGAAATCCACTAATAATCATCTTTTGGAGGCAATCAAAGATGGCAAGAACCAGATGATTGGACTATATGGAATGGGGGGGGGTAAAACCACCTTGGCAAGGGAAGTGGGTAAGAAAGTGGATGAATTGAAGCTTTTTGAAAAGTTCATCATGGTGCTTGTTTCAAAACCTCCAAATGTTTGCAAAATTCAACAGGATATAGCAGAGCAAATAGGTTTGGAACTTAAGGAGGAATTGCAATCTAATAGAGCACAGAGACTGTCTTTAGGAGTAGAAAATAAGAAGATTCTCATAATCTTGGATGATGTGTGGAGCACTCTAAATCTTGAAGAAATTGGTATTCTTCCAAATGAAAATCGTTGTATTTTGTTAACCACTCGCCTCAAAGATGTATGTGACTCTATGCGTTGTGGAAGTATAATTGAATTATCTCTCTTAGAAGAGGAGGAAGCGTTGACTTTTTTAAAGATGCGTGCAGCCATAACCAGTGATTCATTGAATGACTTTGATGGCGTGGGAAGGAATATTTGATGAGTGCAAGGGACTTCCTATTGCCATTGAGATGGTGGGAAAAACATTAAGAGGAAAAAGTATTGTCGAGTGTAACTCAACATTGCGAAAGCTAAAAAGTTCCCCAGCATTAGATATTGATGAGGGTTTAAGGGGTCCTCATAAAGTTCTCGAATCGAGTTATGATAATTTGCCAAGTCTGCTAGCCAAGTCGCTCTTCTTATTATGCTCTATGTTTCCTGAGGATCATAAAATCCATGTAGAGGATTTAATTCGATTTGGCAAGGAGACTCTGGAGCTTGAGGAGATTGCGTACACAATGGAAGATGCAAGGAGTGAGATTTCAGTAAGCATTAACACATTATTAAATTCATCTTTGTTAATGCCGACAGGTGAGCAAGAATGTGTAACAATGCATGACTTTGTTCGAGATGTAGCTTTGTGGATTGCAAAGAACTAATGTCAAGTAATTATGGTGGAAAGCCATGTGGTTTCAAAAACATTGGTTGAAAATAAAAGTTTGAAAGACACAAAAGTAATATCGTTGTGGAATTTAGATTGGAATTTTAAGCTCTCCAATCAATTGCATTGTCCAACACTGGAAATTCTTTTACTCCATCCTTATGGGTTCATTGATGATCTTGGAGGGATAGAAGCACTAAAAGTCTTGGCCTTCATACAATCTAGCTTTGAATGGACGTCTAATATGAGACAATATTGGGGGATGCAAAAAATTCAGTGGTTAGATCCACAAGTAATTGTGTCATTAACAAATCTTCACACCTTATGCCTTAGAGCAAAAATATTGGGTGACATCTCTTTCTTGGGTGAACTTAAAGGATTGGAGATTTTTGACTTGCGTTATTCTCAATTTAATGAATTACCAACTAGAATTGTAGAAATGAAAAGGTTGAAACTTCTAGATGTGTTTGGTTGTGAAATTGAGGGAAGTCCTTTGGAACTAATTGGAAGATGTGAGTGACTTCAAGAATTATACATTTTTGATACAAAATCTGCCATCCCAGAAAATTTTTCTCTTCCAAGATTGGAGAGGTATGTTATCTATGATTCCACAGGTAGATTTTATAGATATGCAGCTCCTCTTCTACAATATTTTGATGGTTGTCTTGAAGTATTAAGAGCTTTATGTATACAAGGCTTCATAGTCTATGCTCTAGGTTCATCAATGAAAGATCTCATTCTTAGAGCTAATTTCCTTTGGTTGGAGAATTGTCAGTGGGATCATAAAGATCTAAGTTTAAAGATAAAGCATTTGGAAATTTCATCATGTCCAGAGAAAAGATTCATTGTCAATATCTCTGAACTCAACAGTCTCCAAACAAAACATGTTTTCTCCTACCTGATTACTTTAAAATTGAGAGAAATGAATTGTCTTGAACAAGTGTTTCAGGATTCGTCTAACAGCTTCTCTCTCCCGATGTTACAAGAGTTGTGTATAGCATGGTGTCCTGAATTGAGAACTTGCATCTTTACACATACCACTGTTACAAGCCTACCAAAGTTGAGAAAACTTAACATAAGATATTGCAAAAAAGTCAAATGGCTATTCCCTTATTCTCGTGTTTGCCATTGTCCTTCACTAGAGAAATGGCGAATACATGATTGCTCCGAACTTGAGAGGCCCATTGGTGGAGATGGTGATGAAGACATAGCACATGATGATCAATCACAACGTCAAGGAGAGTCCCTTTATGATATGCAAGATTTTTTACATGTAAGTGTTATCTACAAAATCTCTTTTAAATGTAAAGTATTTGTATGACATTGCGTATTAGGAATAAATAAATAATCCATGTTAATGCATGGACTAAAAAATTGCCTTTAGATATAATTTTCATAGAAGGAAATATTATTTGTAAATTGAATTTGTTGCTTTTATTCTGACACGTAAATTTTATATCCTTTTCTCAAATCATTAAGTGAAATCAGATAATCAATGCCTCTTCTTTATCTCTCGAGCTAGTTATTTTAACCTTTTTTGGGGTCAAAAAAATGTGCGTTACAATTTCTAACACCATACATGTATTGTAAAAAGTACTTATATAAGTTAGTATGTTAAAAAAAATAATTTTCATTCAAAATATTATTGCTTCTTGAGCTTTATATTTTTTGCCAACTTTTGAGCTTTTTAAGTTTCTTATTATTTTTTTGTCATTTAAAATTTTTTTAATGTAACACTTTATATGTTGTGTTTCGTATTTTGGTCAAGGAGATGACTTTTTGATATTTTTAATTTGGCTTCAAAGATTTATTGTAGTCGGTACTCATCCTGTTTCAAATATAAGTCATTTTTACTTAATGCTCACCTATCCAAAGAACCCATTAGATAATTAAAATGTTATTTTGTTTTTTAAAATTTTCCATGCGTTAAATAAATTAGGTGAACCATATTAATGAAGGGAGGTAAATAATTTTAATACACCCTTATGGACATTTTAGAAAAAAAAAGACATCAATTACCTTTTAAAATTCATAAAGTGCCTTATATATTAAAACATAAGGCCTTGAAAAACGTGTCTTATATTTGAAAGGAAGGGAGTAATTATTAAAGGTGTTTTTATTTAAAATAAAGTTGTGTTAATGCATTATCTATAAATTACCCATAGTTGTAGTGAACTGTTTTCTTTTTTTAGATGTTTTTCGGATTTGTTTTTCTTTGAATTTTTTTTTTAAAATTCATTGCACCTCTATCTTATGCTTTTACAAAAGGTTGTAAGGGCATTTTAGGGGAAAAAAGACCTTAAAAAACATGTCTTATATTTGTAAGGAAGGGAGTACTTATTAAAGATGATTTTATTTAAAATAATTTTGTGTTGATGTATCATCTACAAAATGCCTATGCGTGAAGTGAAATGTTTTCATTTCTTTGCATGTTTTTTGGCAATGTTTTTCTTTGAATTTTGGGGAAAAAAAATCATTACTTTCTTCTGTTGTTCTGAAAAGGTTGTAAGTTTATTGAGGTGAGTATATTGTGAATTTTTGTTGACAAATGGGTTAAAAAATTTTCAAATATTTTGATGAATTTTTTTATTTTGTTCACCTACCATTTTTTTAATATAAAAATTATACTGGCTTGTTCTCTTTTAAATTTTATTTGAAAAACTTATGTTTGCTATCACATTTCAATTTTTATTTAAGGATTTTTAACTATATAATTCATGTTTGATTATTTTTTTTAAAATTCATGTTTGAAACTTTCGATCTCTGTATTTAGTATTTACACAACATATATGCTAAAGAATATTAAACTGCGTAAGTACCTATGTTTTCTTTTTTTTTTTTAAGGTTAAAATATACCTTTAGTCCTTTTAATTTATACAAAGTTTTATTTTAGCTTTTTAATTTCATAAAATATCTTTTCAATCTTTTACTCATAATACTATTAGTTTCATCACAACAAATTTTTATATTAAATTTTTAAATATTGATAAAACATTCTCAACATTATTAAGTTTAACTTGTTTTTTAAATAACAATATTTGGCACAAAAAATGTGAGGAATGTTGGGGTAAAACAGAAAAGTTTGGCTAGAGCCAGATCTAAATGTTGCCTATGTAGGTGTCTTGTAGTAAGAGGAGTAATTATTTCAAACCAATGGTGATGAGGTTAAAGGACTAAAAGATATTAAAAAAAAATTAAAAATCAAATTGAAATTTTATATAAAGTTAGAGAATCAAAAATATCTTTTAACCTTTTTTGAAATAAAAATATTATTTTCAAATAAACTGCATTTGCTTTTTTGTCCCGCATTTGAATTCGATAATAACTTTAACCTCTTTAGTTCATTTCAATTTTTGTCAAATAATTAACTATTTTATTTTTGAAAGAGCTGTATATATTTTATTTCATATTTTTGTGAGATAAATAATTTTTTGGCATCGCATATGTTTGTATTGTTTGTCTGTGCATTGCATAATTTGAAATTTGAATTATATTAACAGGGGAATGAGAGTGAGAGAGTACAATGCTTCAATCAGTTGCCAGATCAGAAGCCCTTGACCCCCTTCCTAAATTTGAAACGTGTAAAGATTTCATTATGTGAAAGAATGAAAGGTATATTTGAAGTCCAAGTGAGAGAAGCACAAGATCCTAATTTGAGGCTGAATTCAGAGTTGTGTAAATTAAGATTACAAGAACTACCAGAGTTAGAATATATTTGGAAGGGCCCTACACAAATTGTGAGCCTTCATAGGCTTGAAGTTGTTTTGTTGGATGTGTGCCCACGATTGAAAAGTGTCTTTTCTCTTGCTATCCTTACAAGCTTCCTAGAGTTGAGGACACTTGAAGTAGTGAATTGTAAAGAATGGGAGCGACTCTTTTGTGAAGAATCACTTAAAAATCTTTCTTATAATGTTTGCTTCCCCAAACTTAAGGCGATTCTTATAAATTATTGCAACACAGTGAAAAGGTTGTTCTCTTATTCTCTGGCTTCTCTTTGTCCTCCACTAGAGGTGCTCAACATAAAAGATTGGTGTGAACTTGATATGCTTGTTGATGGAGATAGTGATGAAGAAGCAGCAATTGGGGATCAGCTACCGCTTCTCCAACTAGAGCAATTATATCTGGTAGACTTGCCAAAATTGAGGGAGATTTTTAGAGGAGAATTTGAGTACAAGCTGGAGTCCCTTCATGATCTACACGTAAGTCCCTGAAATTTCATAGCTTTGTATTCACACTACATACTGATGATTCATCATGAAATATAAGGTGTATGCATGTTGTGCAGTGATAATATATGAATGTGTAACTGCATAAAATTCATCTTATAGTGAGATTATGTTGTTACAATTTTAAAATATGTAAAATTAATGGGGCTTAATTTGTAATGTTACGGTACCATATTTCAATTTGATGTGATCTTGGATTGCCATCTAATTAATCATTGAATACATTCACTTTACAGAAAAATGAGAATACGAGAGTAGGGGCAGTGGATTCAGAATTATGTCTAATGGAATTACGTAGACTACCAGAGTTGGAATTTATTTGGAATGTCCCCACCCAAATTATAAGCCTTCATAGGCTTGAACAAGTTCGGTTGGTAAGTTGCTCGAGATTAAAAAGTATCTTCACTCTTGCTACAATTTCAATTCTTCCAGAGTTGAGGACACTTGAAGTGAGATAATGTGACGAATGGAAGGGAATATTTGTAAACAATCACTTAAGAACATTTCTTCTACTTCTTCCATTGTTTCCCCAAACTAGAGATCATTGGTATATCGAACTACCACAAAGTGAAAAGACTGTTCTCATATTCTCTAGCATCTCATTGTCCGTCACTAGAGGAGATAACTATACATGATTGCTCTCAACTTGAGGGTGGTGTTCAAGGCTATGAAGGTGAACAAGTTTCTGGTTGTCATGGTCATGAAAAGTTGTTCCCTAAACTGAATAAATTAGAACTCACATGGTTGCCAAAGTTGACAGAGATTTGCGCAGATCTTGAATTCAATCTCCTATCCGGTATTATGGATATAAAAGGTTGTCCAAGTATATGTAGCATCCCATTACAATACAATGCCTCACCAGGTACCTACCTACACCATTTCTAGATATGCAATGAAACATTATTTGCACGCCCACATTATTTTTTAACCACTGAAATAGTTTTGTGCATCCCAGTATAATTTTTATTGCTGGTCAAGCTTAACACTTTTTTTTTTTTAATTTGTAGACTTATCGAACACATAATTCGTATGTTTCAGTTTTTGTTACTCACCACTTTTGGCGCCAATGCAATTGTCATTATATCAAATTCAAAATAATATATTCAATAAATGATATGTTGCAACAACATAAGATGTTCAGTAATTACATAACCCCAAGTAATTAATTTTTATCATTTACACATTTTTTAACACATTCTCATCCTCATAAATGATTAGAGCTTATTTAATCCAAATTATGTAATGACAATTTTGAAAAAATGCTTAGAATAATTAAGGCCCTTGGTTTTTTATTTTTTCTATGTACATTTTATGTAATTGCTAAGCTGCTAATTCATTGTTTTTTTTCCCTCGAGATTTGGAGTACAAGTTGGAGTCCGTTCATGATAAACTGGGGTGTTTACATGTAAGTATCACACTCAGAGTGAAATACTATTTTAAACTGAATTTTTTTCTTTTCTTTTTACACGTGAATTCCGTATCCTTTAATTTTCTCAAATTGTTATGTGAAATCAAAGCACAACTTTATCTCACTATTTCTTTTTTAACGTTTTCTTTAAAGATCTATTTTTATTTTATTTTTTATGGATAAATTTGTGAAATAGTTCTTCTTTTTTTTTTGCCAAATGCAACACCTCGTCAAATATGTGAAAATGAGTGTAATAAAGGTCTCAGTCCAAAAAAACAGAAAATAATAAAAGGTAAATTGTCATTATTTTGTTTGTTTCTTTCGTGGATTGAACTTACAAGCTGTCGTTAAGCTATTCTAAATAGACTTTTTCCTTCGTTCACTCCACCTCTGTTTTTTTCTTGTGGGAATAGTTATTTCAATTTATATTTTATTTTTTGCATCTATAAAATAGTCTTGCATGGACTAAGTGAAATACGGATGCCACTCCATAAAAGGTTGGTTGTGAACGAAATAATTTTTTTTATTCAAGACTGTTTTATTTGACATAAATTAAATCATGGTAACTAGGGATGCAAACCTGTAAATTACACACACACACACACACACACACACACACACGAAGGTATAACTTACCAAAATTCATCTTAGTGAGATTATATCATCATAATTTTGACAAATTAAATGTGAAATTAATGGGGTTTAATAATTTGTAATGTTATACAGATTGTAATATTCAACATTTTATGTGATTCATTTATAGACCATCTCCTGGATTTCCATCTAATCATTCAATACATATACATCTAATCATTCAATACATATACTTTACAGACAAATGGGAATGAGAGAGTTAGGCCAAAGGTGTTGATTTTGGAATCGTGTTTTATAAAGTTATATAAACTGCAAGAGTTGGCATATATTTGGAAGGGCATCACACAAATTAAAAGCTTCCACAAGCTTGAACAAGTTGATTTGGGATAATGCCCAAAATTAAGAAATATCTTCTCTCTTGTAACAATTAAAAGCTTTCCAAAGTTGAGGCAACTTGGAGTACATGAATGTGAGGAATGGGAAGGAATATTTTGTGAAGAGTCGCTTAAAAACATTTCTTCAACTTCCATAGTTTGCTTTCCTAGCCTTGAGATCATTAGCATGTCATATTGCCATAGAGTAAAAAGGTTATTCTCTTATTCTCTAGCATCTTATCGCCCTTCACTGAAACATTTGCATGTATTGAATTGCACTCAACTTGAGGGGGTTGTTCAAGGTTCTGAAGGTGAACAAGTTACAGGTCATGATCATCAAAAGCTATTTCCTAAACTAAATCGGTTGAATCTCATAGTTGCCAAAGTTGAGAGAGATCTATGCAGGTTATGAATTCAGCCCCATATCAGGTACTTTAAGTATAAAAGATTGTCCAAACAATGCCTTATCAGGTACCTATGCATATTTTTTTATCTTATAGTCTTATCAAACACGTAATGTGCATGTTACTGTTTTTGTCACCAATACTTCTGGTATCTATATAATTGTCTTTATATCAAAATCCAAGAAATATATTAACTAAATGACATGGTACAGTAATATAAGAGCTTTAATAATTGTATAACACAAAGTAATTAATCACCATTTTCACATTTTTTAACACATCATTCTTATCATTACAAATAGTTAGCTTAAATTTAATATTTAATGAAAATTTTGAAAAATGTGTAGAAAAAATAAGGCCGTTAGTTTTTATTTTGTCAATATACCATTGTGGTGTGATAGTCAAGCTGCTAATTAATTATATTGTTTTTTTTTTACAGATTCATATATCATATCAGAAAATTAGAAAACAAAGGGGTGATCATGATGAGCTTTTGATCTTCTAATTAATGATGTTTTATCTGTAGTTGTGTTTACTGAGTGGTGTGTGGAGATGTGTTGGATTTGTTTAAGTGTGTTGAAGATTATACAAAAACCAAAATGATGCATAAAATTTAGATATATCTTTACTTGAACTTATGTTTGACTTGAGATGTATTAGAATTATAGATGTAATTGTATAATAATTGTGTGGCTTCCTGGGACTTCTCATTTTATTTGCAACACTTGTAATAGATTTCAAAATTTCAGACATTGTATTTACACCTAGTTTTCATTGATTTGAAAAAAATATATGAATATAGTATGAGGGGGCAACAACTAATATAAGAACCTTGGAAAGCCTTAGAAAAGAAACAAGTTTTTGGGTTGCCTATACTAATTAGAGCTATGTGAGATATGTATGAGGAGGACACAACTAGCACATGAACATCTTAACGGTCAAATAAAGGATTTTTCTATAAGGATTAGACTATAAAAGGGATCATCTTTGAGTCCTTATTTATTTGATCTAGTCCTAGATATTTTGACTGAACATATTGTGAATAATATAGTTCTTATTGTAGAGACAAAAGAAGAGATTAACTATAAACTTAATATTTGGAAGTGGACATTGGAATCAAAAGGTTTTTGCCTGAGTAGGAGTAAAACAAAATATTTGTATTGTAACTTTTATAAGAGGTCAGTCAGTAGTAATTTGGAAGTGAAATTGAGAAATCAAATTACACCTCAAGTGAAAAAGTTTACATATTTGGGAGCTATCATTTAACATAATGGGAAAGTAGACAGGGATGTTGCACATAAGATACAAGTTGGGTGGTTTAATTGAATAAAGGTTAAAGGAGTTATTTGTAATTGAAAGGTGTAAACTTAAAGGAAAGTTTTATCAAACTATTATAAAACTAGTTATGTTATACGGCAATGAATAATGTTAGGCTTTAACAAGACAACAATAACATAAAGTTGGAGTAACAGAGATGAAAATGTTGAGATAAATATGCAGGCATACATGTAAAGATAAAATTAGAAATTAGCATACATGAGAAAAAGTGAGTATAGCATCGACTGAGGGAAAAATGGTAGCAAATCATTTGAGATAGTTAGGACATATATAAAGAAGACTATGGGAGGCATTGGTGAGAAGAGTGAAATATATAATTTTGAGCCCTGTTAAAATGGGTAGAAAAAGGCCAAAGAGAATACTTATGAAAATTAATGACTGAGACTTTTTCATTAATAATATTCTTAAAAACTTGATAAATGATAGAGTACAATAGCATTATATGTGTAATCATTATTGACTATACCCCACCTAGTAGTAATAAGTGATTTCTTGTTGTTGTTGTTGTTGTATTAATCAGTGATGTCTTATATTGTCCTTTATTTCATTATGGCAATACAGTTTTTACTTATCTAAAAAAGAAATACAATAGTAATTCCATGTTGATTTTTATGAGAATATCATGTGGTTAAAAAAAATAGCTTCATTATAAATAATAGTGTGTATTAATTAGAATTGGTAATTTAGGTGTGCTGAACTTTTTAGATTAGGTTGAAAATTCCCAAATTTGTAAAAAAGCTCATTTAGCCAAGCCTAGCCTAACACCTTGAGTTAGACTTATTTGGGTTAGTTTGAAGACTCAAATTGTTAATAAATATTATATTATTTTATTTATTTTCTTTTTTGTGCCAATTTAAATTTTTATCTTAAAAAATTAAGAGTTTTTCAAGCAACATAACACTAGAATGTATCTTTTTGTTTCCCCCGATCCTTATCAAAGTAAGATCAAGCATTAAAAGTGTAAAAATGAAAGCCCAAAGATTAACCTCTCGTGTTTATTTTTAAAAATATTTTCAAAAAATATTTAAAACAATCAATTATTAGAATATTAAAAATTTATTTCGGAGTGCAAAATGTGCTAACTAAAAGCTTGGAAGAGGATTTGTAAAAGCTAAGTTAAAGTTGAGGTAAAGCTTAATATTGTATTGTAGTAATAAAAATAGAATTTAGGTATTTGGGCAAAGTCCATTTAGGTTTGGGCTTTGCATAACATCCTAAATTTATAACCCAAGATTAGTAAATTAATGAGTGGTAAATTAATAATTTAATGCATGCAGTAATTAAGCTAGAGAGGGTTCTAGATGATTAATGGGCTCATTGGAATTTTTGGCAAGCTTATAATTGGACTAGGAGGTGAATTGAGCCACTTAGGCTTGAACTAAAGAGAAAAATTTGGAATAAGCTTATTGTGTAATACACTGTGGCCTATTACATTTATGCCATGGCATAATGTTGCAAATCTAGTTATTAAGTCATGAGAATACATTTGAAACATAAAGGAGGAATGGCAAAACACAAGGAGGTCTCTTTGTGCAACATCTTAAATTTTAATCCAAGCATGAGATTAACTCATTAAGGATTTAATTAATTAATTGAGGTGATTAGGAGCTGTCATAGAGTTGGGATGACCTTTTGGGCATATTAGACTCTATAGGAGACTTAGAAATGAGTTAAAGAGGCTAATAGGCTGTTTTAGGCCTAGATTTTGGGCTTAATTGATGTTGCCCATTTTGGGTCATCAGTTGTGGTGGGTGGTACAATTCATTATAGTGGACAAAATGAAATTTTAAATCTTGATTCAACAAATCATTTTAGCATAAGAGAAGAGAGTTTAAGAGAGATTCGAGAGCAAAGCGATACAACTTTACTAGGGTTTACTTGTGGGGGTTCTTGGAGATGATTTAAGGCATTTAAGACCTTGGGTAAACTTCCTACCTCATTCTTCTCTCTTCTTCTTATAGTTATTTCACTTTTTTGGTTTACTATAGCTTTGGTTTGAATTTATAGTGGGGTCACAAACATTTTTAGGACTCTAATAGAGTCTTCGGGAGTTAATAAATGTTTTTAGTTTTGGTTTTGAGTGACCGGCAACATTAAATACCATTAATGAGGGGTTTAAGGTCAACCTTATTGCTAGGAAGCTAGATTAAGCTATTGGGAGTAGCTAACAGTGATTGGGCTAATGAAAGCTAGATTAAGCCTTAATGAAAGTTAGATAAACTAATAAAAATGAGTTTTTGGGCTAGTTATAGTTAATCATGTTGAGTAAAGGTAATATGCCCTAATCATGATTAAGGGTCAAGTAATGATGATTAGTCATTAATACTGTATTTAGATTACTATTGTAGATTGATTATGATTGAAGCTTTTGTTTAAAGAAGCTCCTCGAGAAATTTAAATTTAACTTTTAGGGTGGTAGCCCATGAATGGAGGTAATCGAGGATTTAATTATAGTATATCAATGTGTTTGTAATTGTACTTTATGAATTATTATGAATGGCTTGAAATAAACAAAATGAGCTTATAGATGAACCTATTGATTTTAAGCTATTACTTGAATATGAAGCATGTCTCATTTGTGATGAAATGTTTGGTGATTATATAAATTGGAATATGGATTGTTGATCCTGGATTAGCCATAAAATGATTATATGAACAAGATATAAGTTGCTGCAAATGATGTGATTTTATGAATAAAGTTAATCATACAAGTTTTATAAATTATGAGAATATTGAATTAATGAGTTACGCATATAGGTATACATTTGCATATGTTGAATGAACTTGTATAATCATGATAGGTGGGAGTTCACCTTGGATTAAGAGAGGACTATGTTGGTAAAAGTTTATATGGTATAGCTCCATTGAGTTTGTGCGCAATGGTTGGCATATCATATATTGTCATTAGTCCTTTAGGTATGGCATGGGTTGGGCACAATGCTCGGTATTATTGATTCCTGGAGGGGATAGTATAGGTTGGGTAGTTATAACACCTTGAAATTTATGTGCAGGAAATATATGATTTGAGAGTGAATGTGGGAGCCTTAGGTTGGACAACCCCTCATAATTAGAGAGTGAGGCTAGTCCAGTTACATAGACTAGACTTATATGAGATATTAGCTTATGGATTTAGTTAGATGATATATAAGGAGTGATATAAGGTGGTTGCATTGATCACGTAACATCCTAAAAAATTTCCCTAATTAACTAAACCTAATTAGGGTAATTAGATAAATTAATGTGGTGTGTGGTTAGAGAGGTCTAATAAGTGTGTTTGATTGTGATTTTAACTCCAAATTCATGTCCAAAGTAAAGTTGGATTACTAGGGCATCAAAAAGTGAGAAAATTTAAAAGAGGAGTTTCTGTGCCATACATCATGGCACATACCACTTCTACCGTGGTGCGTGATGTGTGTGCCATAGTGCATAGCCAATTTTTTTAATAAGTTGCTTTAGAGTCAATTTGAAAATCAGAAAGAAGGAAGGAAGAAAACAAAGAGCACACCATTTGCTCTACTAGGGCACGAGTTTAAGGGCCATTTGAGACATTTTAGATATTTATAATATTAAATATAAGTCCCTTTTACCCTCTACTTCCATCCTCCTCTTATTTTCTCTAGATGTGAGTTAGGGTTTATGTTGGGATACTAATTTTTGATCCATGATGGCTATAAGTTTAAATTGATTGACTTAAATAGAGTTAATGAGAGTTGTTTAAGTTATTTAAACCTAACATTTATGGTATTACAAGTTTTTGGTTGGTAGGTGTCATTTATTATTCGAAAATAGCCATAAATGAGGTTGTTGGAGATGTTTGATGGCTATTAATGGTAGTTTGATGGTCATTAATAATAATGTATGGTAAGGGAATCTAGTAAACCCAATAGGTATGTTTAAAAGTGAGGTTGTGACTATGGTAACTTGGGAATGTAGAGATTTATCCCAATGAGGATATTATTGATGAATGAATAATGTAATTAATTATAGATATAATCACTGTTGGGCACCATTCAAGCTTAAGGAGAGCTTTGGAAGTGTTGGTAGTTAGGGGTAAATCTTTGACCTCTTAAAGGTATGAGGTAATTAGGAAAAATTTGATTTGTGCTTTTACTTTTTAGTTAATTATACGTTAAAAAGAATAATTTGAAAACCAAACAATTGTTAAATTTAAATTTGATGCAAATTTTGGCATTATGAGTAAACATGTGATATGCAAGAAGTATGTGAAAGCAACGAAAATGATGTATATACGTATGATTAATGCTACTGAGTAAGATAGTGTGTACATGAAAATAAGCCAAGTGAGATATTTTTCATATTGAACTATATGGAATGTTATAGAGATGTATTGTAATC